ATCTCCTGAAATCTTTATCAGGTTATTTTTCGGATGGTAGTACTAATCAGTGTTGCCATTTTAGCCGTTTTCCGGCTAGATTTAGCCGGTTGCGATAGCAAACAGCCGGAGAAATTTCGGTTTAGCCGGAAGCCGATTTCTTAGCCGTTTTGTAAAAAAATAGCCGTTTTTAGCCGATTTTGCTATTTACCTTGTTTTCTTAAAATTCAAATATATATGTTTTCATTTTTGACTAAGCGATTCAAAATCTGTTGGAAATGGCTACTAGCCTTATCGCGGATGCAGGGTTATATAAAATAGGGCCGATTTCTCTTATTTTTATTTTAAACGAATATATTTTTTCTAAGGAAGGCCGCAACGGGGATTTTCTTCATAAAATGTTTGTTATGAATGACTTAAATTTAAGTGTGACGTTTAGAAATCCAACCATGTGCCACAATCACATGTTTTTCCTAATTGAACATTCTTGCTGGCAAAATTATTTCCAGCTTGAATTTGCAACTTCTCTCCAAGAACTAGGGTGGCCAGATGCGCTGATTTAATCAGTACATGTGCTGATTTTTTTCTATTGGACTGATTTTTAAGAGCCCGAAATCAGTACGCAAAATCTACTGATTTTGAGTTTGTACTGATTTTGTACTGATTTTTACATTTAATAAATACTTTTGTAAATTGGTGTAATTGACATTTACTTAAGGTTTACATGTTCAAAACAATGGTTTTTTAAAACTCATACGTGTGAGCAGATTGAAAGCATTAATTAAATTTAAACCATTATTAAAAAGGTGTCAGCTTGAAANTTTTACATTTAATAAATACTTTTGTAAATTGGTGTAATTGACATTTACTTAAGGTTTACATGTTCAAAACAATGGTTTTTTAAAACTCATACGTGTGAGCAGATTGAAAGCATTAATTAAATTTAAACCATTATTAAAAAGGTGTCAGCTTGAAATTGTTTCGTTTCCTGGGATTTCGCAAAATAACAAACTGTTTGGATTCAACCCAACCCGATTTGCAATCACGATTTGCAGGATTTACAGGAAAAGCTGGTTTTGCCATTAATAAATCTTATGAAAGGTGGCGGTGAGTTAATCATATATTAAGTACACTGAGAAGATAACAATAAGAGATAATCTTTTGATTATAATTAAACATCCACTGAGAAATCGGCTGTCAGTATTTCAAACTTAAGACGACTACTGCTACGGTGCAATGTAAGTTCTAAAAATTTGGAAAAGGTGCAAACTACCGACTCTTGGATATGATATATGTAGCTTTGCTTTGATTTTTGATGTTCGACCACCTGTAATTTTACTTGCACATACACATTTAACACTATTAAATTTCATTGGTAACCGAAAATTCGTTTAGCGATAATTCGGTAATATACCTTGTAAGGCTTATTTTCACTTTGTCAAATTCGATGACATTTGTCGTCAAATAAGTGAAAACGCACTGTCAAACAAGATTAAAAAGCACTATATTGATGGATTTCGATCAGAATAGGTCTTTAGTCGTATACGTTTGCTGATAAATCGGCGATCTGTCTGTTTTTGGCACATTATATTATCGGTAAAGGTATGGATAAAGGAGATAAAGTTCTGTCAAAATATGTCGACAAATTTTGACGTCAAAATATGACATAGTGAAAACCAGCCATTAGTCAACATTTTAATGTGAATATTGTATTTAATAAGCACACCAACTAAATATGTTTTAAATTTGTAGCTTAAAATATGCAAACAGATTCTGACTCGAGCTCGTCTTCTACTGAAACTGAATCGGCTACAATTTTTTTTTTTTAATTTTCTCAATTTTTATAAATTTTCTAGAAAGTTTGAGACTTCAACTCACATGTCTTTTGTTATAGAATTTACTATATTTTTATAAAAAATTTAAATTAAGTAAGGAAAGAAAAAATGTTCAAAACCTGTCAATTCATTCTACTACTATTTTCCTGAGCACAGCTGTACATACATACGTAATGCCTTTGATTTGTTTTAAAGTAATGAATTTCTATATTGATAATACTATATATATTTAAAAGTCTATTAGTTATTTTTTATTAAATTAATGCGCAGTTATATGGTTGTTATATTGTTAATAATAAAAAATACGCTTAAAAATGAGCTGATTTTTATGGCTTTGTACTGATTTTTGATCCCAACTGTACTGATTATGTCACTATAATATCTGGCCACGCTACCAAGAACTAGTCTTTCTACTTATGATTTATTTAAATAAAACATGTGAAATTGAGTTGAAGCAGTTTAGCCGGTTTTAGCCGGCTTGTTTTTGCCAATTTAGCCGGTTCGTCCAAAAAGTTCTGGCAACACTGGTACTAATATCGATTAAGAACAAAATCCATTTACGAAGCATTCATAGATCTTCAGAGTACTTCGACATTGAAACACACATTTCGTATTTAAATCGCGTGAAAAGTGTTAACAAAATGGATTTTTCCATTGGACATACACTACGTATAATGGAAATATTCAATTCAAATACGCCCGTATTAAAATGAAGCATTTTTTACTACACGGATGGCGTTTTGCACGTCTCGGATGCTTTTTATTACTACCTCCCTTTTATTAGCTCGGGATTTTTATTCTCAAGTTAAAGTTAAAGATGACAGTACGAATGGAAGTTATAATAGCGAGGTTTTAGTTTTTTAAACTATAATTTTATTCATATGTAATTAAGAAAGTATACAAAGCACGCACAGCGGTGACAACACATACACACATACATGGTATGGCATAACCCAGTAGCGAAAATGGTCACTAATGAGGATTTGGTGACATCGTCGCTCTTGCTGTGAATTACAGACAATGTCTTGCAGTGCTCACTTATAAAAAGTTCATTGCAGGACATTGTCGCTTGAATGCCATCAATGATCACTGCATGGCAAAGTCATGCAGAGGTCATCAACGCCTAAATTACCATTTGTATGAAAATGTCATGAACGACTTCCATATAAACGAAGCCCAAAGTCATTGAAGACATGATATGGCCGTACAAGACACTTAAGTGACTAATTCATGACATTCGCTACGGGGAATGTACTAATCGCGCGCTGTGGAGTTGATTCAAACTAACATTTGAAAACACATCTACATGTATGGCTGTAGCTGAGTGCGCAAAGACGCTTGATACAATTGGCTGCTGCCAAGAGGGCTCGGGTTCAATTACCATCAGACGGATCATAAAATAAAACTCTTTTTCTTCTTAATTATAATTTCGTATAACGAAAAAGCATCTGTGCACTTCACAATGACATATTTTATAACGTACACACTCAAATTTAAAACGAGTTGGGTTGGTGCTCTTTTTTTTTTTCTAAAATTTTTTTCCCGCAGTGTAACATAGATTCTTTCCGTCACAACGTGTCGTTGTGAAACAGGCATTTCATTTCAATGAAATGTATTTAGTAAATATATATATTTCCAAAATAGATGATGCAATGAAAGGCAGTTGTTAAGTGATATTCAACGAGTGCGATCGTAAGAATACTAAAATATGTACATAAATATTGCAAATAAATTCCCCAGATCTTTCACGAGTTTTTCAGTAACAACCTCTCGGAGAAGCAACTACGTGTTTAGGTACGTACATACGTAGATAATTAAATATGTATATTTATATAAAAAAAATTCATTAGCTAAATTTTTTATTAACTCAATTGTTCCCTTCTCTGTTCTTATCTCTTGCCAAATCATTTTATTTGTATAGTGTTTACCAGTTATAGCCTACACACAAAATTAATAAGAAATTGCAATAAAATCTAAGTATTTGTATGAAGTGAAATTACAGGTCCTCTTAAAAACTACTAAACACATATTTAATCAACTTTAGGTAAACACAAATCTCTTTATGTTTTACAGTTTATTGCAGTAGCAAGAACTACTTACGCGATATTAGTAAAATACATTAGTCGATCTTAACTCTACATAATTATATAAAGTAAAATTTTTTTAGTATAGGCTATTCAAATGTAAAAACTTATTAAAAACAATTAAGAAAGTCTAAGTTCGGGCGGAGCCGAACATTAAATACCCGGCGCAAGTACTAAATATATGTTTTTCTCCTTTACGAAAGCTACCGCTACATGGTAAGCCGGGGTGTATCAATTTTGAGTAAATTAGCGTCCTTAAATTTCGAAATATTGCAGTTTCAAGCATTTCTGAAAAGCGGCCGTAATTCTAGTCAATTTTCAACGTTTTGCTTTTATGTGGCAAGCACAATAACCATACCGAGTTTGGCACAAATTGGTATAACGGTTACCGAGATACATATATGTGATCATAAGTGGGCGATGCTACGCCCATTTTCCAAAATTTTATCATAAACGTATTTCTTGGTAAAGAATTGTTGCAAGCATCAATTTTGAATAAATTCGCTTTAATATTTACTGATTTATCAAAGATTTTGTATTTCTCTAAATTACCGATATATGGGATGTGGGCGTGGTTATTGTCCGATTTTCAAAATTTTCGGCCATATGGTATGGTGTACCAAAGCCATCAACGGTGCTAAGTTTGGAAGAAATTGGTGCAGCGGTTACCAAGATATACACATGTAATCATAATATTCTTATTTTTCGTCTAAAATTTATTGTGAATATCACTTTTGAGTGAATAATCTTTAGTAGTTACTAAAATATCGCAGTTTTCGCAATTCTGAAAATTACCGTTATATGGGAAGTGGGCGTGGTTACTGTCCGATTTCGCCCATTTTCAATACCAACCTACCTTGGATAAATGGAAACCTACGTACCAAATTTCGTTGAGATATCTCAATTTTTGCTCGAGTATCGTGCAGACGGACGCACGGACAGACGGAGAGCCGGACGGACAGACAGACATGGCTTAATCGACTTCTCTATTCATTCTGAGCATTTATGTATACATTTGTCTATATCTATCTCGATTCGTTTTGGCTGTTACAAACAACCGTTATGTGAACAAAGTTAATATAACCTTGTGCACAAGTGCGCTCGGCTATAAATTTTCACATGTGTATGTATGTATGTTATAGAAAAAAAAATTAAAAATATCACTTAATTTTTTGGCATGACTGCATTGACTAGTATAGTTAGCTTTCTAAATAATTGTACGGTATATTTAGTAAAAATTATACGTAATTTTTGTCTTCGCTGCTCGTTTAATAGCATAAAATAAATGCTTTTTGTGTGCCGCAGCTAATTAATTAAACACACAATTTTATATATGTATGTATTTCTTAACTACATACAAGTGGTTCCGAATAGATCTCTGGCGCCATCTCTCCGCTTGCTACTCTAAGTCGTTATCTCTTACACTCACTATTATATATATCGGTATAATTTGTTAAAAAAAAGTTTAGCTACTGCTTGAGGGTTCGTTGTGTGGGCCCTGCAAAAGCGCCTGCAGTTTCGCAGCAGCAGGAAATGAGCCCAGGTCTAACGGTGCCGCTCCCGTTGTGCTCTGAATGTAGGCCAATAATCTGCGAAAAAAAATTTGGTAATAGCAATACATATAAATACACATTCAATATGTACTTGCAAATACAGTACATCCATACATATATTCCAATATGAGTTTACATATATTCATTTAAATACATACGTACATATGTACATAAATATACCCTGCAAAAATCGCGACTACACCATCCACACATGTAATGAGTATTCCCTAAGGGCCAAGGAGTATTCGAAAATTAAGCGAAATGCATATAAACAAAATGTGGTCCAATTTACATACATTGCCAAGTCCTAGGGCAGGACCATATACTCCAGCTCTGCATTCCATCAGAGTAGCACAAAACTACTACAAGGTATTACTACATGGAGCACCTATTCAGCTTTAGCATCACAGCCCAATTAAGATCGTGTGGTGATTAGGATCGTTAAAACCAGAGACCGAAAATAACCGGCCCATTTATTTTTTTGTCGAAAATTGGCATTTATTTCTTGTTATAAAAACTAATTCACTCACAATAACTTTCATAACAAGTTTTTGTCTTATCTGCATTGGTTAGACTTTTATTTAATTCGATGTTTTCTTACGTTTCGAATTGATCTTTTGTTTTACTTTTTGTTTTAAATGCAACGGTATCCAAGTAGGTATGTTAAAAATACTGAGTGAAGTGCTTCGGTAGTTTGCTTCTCGTTAGTATCTATCAGGGTGTCCAGATTATTTAAAAAAAAGCGCAATTTCTGAAAAAAATCGCCAAAAATCGCCAATTTTTTTTAAATAAAATTCATGAAATCGATTTAACATATCTTTTATTTTAAAAATTAAATCTTGTTATAATAAAGTTTACAAAACCAAAAACGAATATAATACCTTCAGAGGGTAATAATAAATAACACAAATCAGTAGATTTCATACTAAATGAAGACTCAATAGCGGTAAAGATATGACGCACACAGCAAAATCCAGGATCTCTGAAAGATGTTATGCAATTTTTGCGTGAAAATGAATTGTGTGTTGGACTGGTTCCTGAATATGTACGCTTCATTAGATTTCTTGTTACAGTTCCAGGGTCGTCATGCTCTAACAAGAGGAGCTTTTCTGTTTTGCGTAGGGTGAAAAATTATTTGCGCTCGACAATGCACCAAAAATGGCTCAACCATGTATCAATATTGCATTCTTATCCATGAACTCATGAACGACTTCATTTCTCGAAATTTAAAACGAATGGATGTGTTTCAGACAACAGCATGAGTTTACTCACTTCCATCTAAACAGTATGAACTCATTGCTGTGAACTCTATAAAGTTAGTGAGAAACACCGTACAAACAGTGAGATTCATAGTTAGTTTTGAAATCAATGTTTAGCTGCAGTGTACTCATTTGATTTCAAATATGGCATTGATATACTCTTTCCAAATCAAGTCAAGCGAGTGAAAAATGCTGTTATGAAAAGCAAGTCGAGCAATCGAATGACACTCATTGACTTCAAACAATTAGTAGAGAATACGACAATTTTGAAAAAAATGGATATTGATGAAGTATTTTTTTAAATATATTAGTTTTACTAAATTATTTAGTTATGCACCTGACGTACATTTATATAACTAGTCTACAAAAGAAAAGCAATGTTACCTCATAAGACATCGGCTTTATAAGGAACTTGAAAAATAAGTTGCTTTATTATTTAAAAACAGTTGCTGTTGAAAACAACAGATTTGCACAAAATTGTGCTTTTTTTATACCCGCCAGCAAAAGAGCTCAATAACTTTACCGAATCTGAGCAAAGGTACAGAAAAGAGAAATGTTTACAAATTACCACGGAACCACAAATTGCGGATACACCTTTGTTACCTTCAGACAACTTTGAGCTGTTTTCAGGTCTTCTTAAACAACCTACCTTTGTGAGCAGAACTGATAAAGCTACTGCAGAGCTGCGGCGATATGAAAATATTGAGGTATATTTTCATACGGACTGCGATATAATTAATTGGTGACATATTATCCACGAACCAATAAGTTTTTTTTAACGAAACGGCAACCTATTTTTGGCCTGCATACTCTTGCCACCAGCAGAATTACTCACCCGGGGACAGGGCGTTTCGCCGCCCCTGCATGTGTACCACGATGACACGAGGCACGAGTTGGTATGGTATTACATTACAGTGGAGTATTTTGCAAGTACTCTAATATGGGTCATATTATATGGCACAAATGGAGCACTTGGCCCAACGATTTTTGCAGGGCGTATGAATGAGAATGTGAAACGTCACTTACCGTCTTAACTCATCCAAGGCATTTTGTTGCATTAATATATAATTTTTAGCCAACAACAACGTTGCAATCTTTGAAAGTTTCCGTACGGAAGGCGAGTGCGCATAGGGTATGACGCTTCGAAGCTCATCTAAAGCATCATTCAAATCGTGCATGCGTCTGCGTTCTCTACAAAATGAATGCACCGTTAATATTTATAAGGCATCAAATACATATTCACACTCACAAACCTTGCATTTATATTCAGCCGTACTGTTTTCGCTTGACGATTTTTCTGTTTACCACCGCCAGCCCCACCGCTTGTCCCACTGCTAGCTGCTAGAGTAGTTGTTCCGCCAGATAGTGATTGTGATGGCGATTTATGACCGTGACCCATTACCCCACCGCTCGCAGCAAGTGCACTTGGACTGGGCTTATTTTCATCGGTAGGCATGGAACCTTGCTGTGGCATACCCAGTCCTTGTGCATAGAAGCCGCCAAGTCCCACAGCGCCAAGTGGTGTTCGCCGACCGGGAACACTTTGTGGTGGACTAGATGTTGGTCCGGGATGGCCGGACATAAGGTTTGGTGTGGGTGGTATTTGCATGTGTGAATGACCAGGTAGAGCGAATCCGAAGGGGACGTTTGGATGATCCATAGTGTATGGCGCCTGTATTTAAAAGTAGATTAATTTGAAGCCTGTAAAAAGACGAGAAATTTAAAATATTATTTACACCTTTGCGATTAAGGAAACAACATTTTCTAGCAAGACGAATGAGGCCAAATCAAATCATAAAAACTGGCGCAAGTTTATCTTTCAAACGAAAACATTTTTATACATACATAAGTATACCGTCGATGTTTTTGCAAAACCGCCCATCGACCAATTGGAAAACCGCTATATCGCCATAGTGGCAAAAATGAGATAACGGTTAGAAGCAATACCGCCTATCAAGTCAGAGATAAAATTTTATTTGCAAAACCACCCTGCAGGGAAAGCTACCAGTTGTGAACCAGAATGCTACCAGTTTGCGTTTCAGCCCAACTAGTTCACGTTGCATCATCTTTCAATGTTAGCGACTGGTATTTTTAACATGGCGGTGTTATAAGAGATGCCAATTGTCCGCTCCTGCATCAGCACGCTACCAGTTGAAATACTAGTAGCATCATACCAGTTGACGGGATAGACTGCCTATTCATCCCCCGTGAAAAGCATAAGTACGCCATTTTTCTCGCGGCGCTGCAACAGTGGCAATGGTCGACAGAGTAAAGCTTTGGCATGCCAAATCAAGATATCCGAGTTCGAATCTCAGTGAGGGAATCTTTTTTTATTTTTTTTTTGTCATTTGTATCTCTTGTGTAATTTTTAAATTTATTGTTTTAAAAATAACAAAAAATTATTTCTTTTAATTTTTTATCTTATTTGAATATTTAGGTTTTTACCAAATTAAATTAAATTTATGAACAATTTTTATTTTATATTTAAATTGAAATAATTATTTAAATTAATTTACATACTTTACTTTAACAACCTCCAAGCGTTCTCGAACCTGAGATCTCAGAACCAGAATCGGTAGTCTTCACCCGACGCCACAGCCGAAATTTGCGATGAAAGCGATTAACCGCATTTTAGTTTTGGTTGTGCTTATTCAAAGACAGATGTCGCTGATCGTATAAGTTGTTCGAAATCGCCGAAATGGTAGGGCGTCGCTTTAACACATATTAGTTAATGAACTAGTATTTATACTGGATGGTTTGGCATTTCACTGCGGAGAACTGGTATAATTATAGTGCATGAGGAACTGGTATGACTTCCCCATTTAATACCAGTTTTCGAACTAGAATTTCTACCAGCTATTTTACTTTTTTCTACGAGGAACTGGTATAATTATGGTTCGTAACGAACTGGTATGACTTTTATCCTTAAATAATAGTTCATGAACTGGAATTTGTGCATACTGGTTCAGCTTTTCACTACAGGGCAACCATCACTTTAGTTCTGTCGCGCAAGTTGAGCAATGAACAGCAAATAATTGAAAGCATTAATAAGAGTAAGTAAACGGAACATTTATTGCATATTGCTAAGCTAATTTTATTTAATTTTAAAATGCAAACAGCTTTTGTTAAAATTAAGATTTATTTAATGGCTAACAGTGAAGGAAGTAAGCTGATTTTGGAAAAGTTCTTGACAGGTAAAGATAAATTAAAAGAATTTAGTACCAATCAAAATAAAATATTTTAGATACTTGAGCGAGTCCACCAAGTTCTCCTAGAACTTGCGATTCACAGTTGAAAAACTCGCCGTACACCCATGGGATGCGTCTCTAATTAATATGTAGCCAAGAACCAGTTTTTAATTTTCCTACGGTTACGGTATGATGCAATACTGCCTATCAAGTCACAGATAACATTTTATTTGCAAAACCAACCATCACTTTAGTTCTGTCGTGCAAGTTGAGCAATGAACTGGAAATAATTGAAAGCATTAATAAGAGTAAATAAACGAAACATTTATTGCATATTGCTAAGCTAACTTTATTTAATTTTAAAATTCAAACAGCTTTTGTTAAAATTAAGATTTATTTAATGGCTAACAGTGAAGGAAGTAAGCTGCTTTTGGAAAAGTTCCTGACAAGTAAACATAATAAGAATTTACTACCAATCAAAATAAAATATTTTAGATGCTTGAGCGACTCCACCAAGTTCTCTTAGAACTTGCGATTCACAGTTGGAAAACTCGCCGCACACCCATGGGATGCGTCTCTCACCAATATGTAGGCAAGAAGCCTTTTTAAATTTTCCTACAATTTCAAAATGTGCCAAATGGTCTTCAAAAATAGTGCCGAAAACAAAATGGAAAATGCCAGAAAATTAAATTTTTTAAAGCGTTTTAAAAACAATATATTTTTAGAAATAATATTTTTAAAATACACTGAAGTAATATAGTAATTACACAGTGAGACAAATGGTNAAAAACAAGTTATACGTGTCCCGGCGTTTCGCTGGGTCACGTCTAGGAATCGAGATATATATATAACTATCATATAGGGGAAATTGTCACCTTTGGTGGTCTTTTTTTGACATAACTCGAGAACCACTAGTCCGATTTTGCTCAAACAAATTTAAAAAAATTAAAAATTACAATTCCTTTAATCTGTTGATATAACGTTTTTCTATATAATCAACAGTTTTAAAAAAATTTAATATTTTAGGCAACGTATAACTTGTTTTTGACCGATATAACATTTCCCGTTGGTTTCATCCCATCCCGATTTTGACTGTCGCATAGTGTTATTAATTAGCTTAATTATTACAGTAATGAGATTTATTGCAGATTTAGCCTGTTAAAAAAGCATGAATTTTCGAATTTTTGGGCGTTTTTGTACTTTGGTTAGTTTTAAAGGCAAATTATTAATATTTACATAACTTTGGTTGTAATAAATTAAGAAGCTATTAGCTGTGTTTTTTACATGCATATACATCTACGCTTAACGTGTAAAAAAAACAACAATCATCGGCAATTTCCATTTCAAAACAAGTAATTTTGATTTTATCGACAACTATTCATAAACGCACATAAAGTTTCTCGCTTAGAGCTCCATACAATTTTTATACTCAGATACGTGTGCGTGTAAAAAAAACACGCCTATTATTTTAAACACTAAAAATTCAGAAAAAAATGTTTTATGATAATATCATGCAGAGTCTTCTCCGCTTACTATAAATCTTTTACGCGCTGTGACATATAATTTATAAAATTCCGTAATGGTTCTGCTTCGATAACATTGCACCAAACATCCTCTAGAACTCAATTCGACTCAAGAAATGATCGGCAGTCATATTTGCTAACTAGGTCTTCATGATACGCAAATGTTGTCTTTACCATTTTGATAATTTTTCCTAAATTCAGGAAAATGATTAGGAATACTACCAATACCACCATTAGTTACATTTTCCAAAATATTTTATACATATTTACCACGAATAAAAATTCACATAATGAAATTCCGCTCTGGTACTTTCCTTTTATCTGTCTGTATTTCAATGTCGGCAAGGGACACGATATCGAACAGAAAGTATCGATATGGTACTCATTTAAAGTATCGCTTTAAAGATATCGGGTACCCATTAATATCGGAGTAAAAAGACTCGATATTCCAAATATCGATACCAAAATCCAAAAAATTTATATGAATATAGGTCTCGTATATAGGCCGCTGTGGTGTAATGATTAGAAGTGCTCAAAACTTGAAAATGAAAAACAGCTTCCCATTAAAACAAAATCGCCGTTCAAAGTCGACATAAAACTGTAGGGACCCCTTTTGTGCCACAACATTAATAGCCCGAACACAATGAAAACGACGAGCTATGGACCATAGCTGTCAAATTATTTTAACACGTACTCTTATGTAGATAATTATTTTGGCGCCGACCGGGCAACGCGACGACTGTGGTTGTGGCCAGATTAGATCTATTTCTATTTTTCCAGCGACAGATTAGGTTCTTCCTCTTTTTTTATGTCAAACTCGTACAAATTCATGATGTCGCCGGAGCATTCAAAAAAATCATGTCGCCATCGACAAAGCGTTCAGACAATGAAGATAACAAATTGGAAGCTGTGGCCCGTAGCTCGTCGTTTTTAATGTGTTCAGAACTTAAGGCGCACTTTACAAATCGGAGGAGAATCTCGGTCAAACACTAACATATTGTGTAACAACACGTAGAGGTTGAGGTGTTGTCTTAAAACACCGAAGTCGCGGGTTCAAATTCCACCACATGCAATCCTAACTTTATTACACATTTCAACCCTTAAAAGCCCAATTTATATCGGGAAGAATTATCCTTGTAATGTGAGTGTTGCGAAGACATTAATTAATATTAGCGTTGTTATAAAATTAAGGTTAAGTGAAAAAACCGCGTGTCTTTTCTTTAAAAATTCAGAACTCAAGAGAGTTTATTACAAAAAATACAATTCTCAGTTGTCATTACAGGGTTGCAAAAGGTAAAACAATTCAATGTTCAGTACAACATTACAGGGCTGCAAAAGTTAGTAGGAAAGTAAAAGACTATGCAATAATATTGAACAGTGAGTTTATTACATTCGATACGATACTAGGGTTCTGGTACTCGATTCCAAAAAATATCGTTTTAAATCACTGATAAACAAAAAATTTTCAGGTAAAAGTGTCACCGTTTTTGAAATATTTACATTTTTTCGAATTTAAAAAAAAATCGTGCCTTTTCATGTGTTTTCTTTAACTGCAACTACAAACCGGGCAATACTTAGTAAATTTTTTATGTAAAATACTTCCAGATAGTTGCCTCTCCATAATCTGAACAATCAGTTGTATGGGAGCTATATGTTATACTCTAAGTATTCTGTTTATAATTGGTGCAAGTACTGCAAAATTTCATGTTCCTAGCTGCATAAATGGAGAAGTTATAACGGAAAATCTCATATCTGAACAATCAGTTGTATGGGAGCTATATGTTATAGTGGTCCGATTCTTCCGGTTGATATTTTCACTGTAAGTCTTCTGTTGATAATGAGTAAAAACACCGCGAAATTTCATGGACCTAGCTACATAAATGGAGGAGTTATAACGAGGGAGCTATAGGTTATAGTTACCCCAGCTTTTTAATTTTGACTGTAAGTTTTATGTTGATAATTATTGAAAACAGTGCGGAATTTCATGTTC